GTCAGCATTTGTTCTGTTCCCCTCCGCCATCCCCATTCCTTCTTTGTTCACTGCGATTGCATCTGCATCACTATGGTAACTAATGAATGACTATTTAATTTACCAATCCCTGTATGCAGCAGTTTAGTGTTTAAAAATTTCCAGCACTGTCTGTCATACACATAGTCACACATATAGTGTGTGACACAGGTAATACTATAGGTGCTTCATATTCTTATTTCAAGCTAAATCTGTTTACCTGTCTCTGCAAATGGGATGTGAGAGCTTTATCTACTGTGACAATGGCCACAAGCTAAACAATATGTGCGGATAAACATAGTTGTATTATTTCATTTTTTGCTATCAGTACATGTCAGCTGTCAGCGAGTGCACCTGAAATGAAGGCAGCACCAGTTATATCCCAAAGGATTTCTGCCCAATTCCCAGATCTTAAGAGCTATTGCATGTTCACAGAAAGTTGTCAGAAGAAATATGGTATTTCATATTTGTAAGAGCCAGTCAAAAACTGTTATTTTGGAGGAGTGAAAGGTGAAGAACATCTGTCACTGGCTTTCCAAAGGGATGGTGGGTCTTCAGCCATCTGAAGTCTTCCAGAAAAGGAGAAGTAATTGCTGGAGGAATGCTAGGGCAGCTGCATGTTCTTCCTTGTAGGTGTGGACTGTTTGGAAAATGTAGATCAGCATCTCCTTTCATCATGTTTCCTCCTAGCTCTCTACCTATTTCAGTGCTTTGATGAGCTGGAGATTTTCAGGAGGTTCCTAGACACCCAGGTCAATTTTTATTGGAGGGGTCTCGGTTTTATTCTATCCTAACAAGTTGCGTAGCTGACTTTTAACCTGCAAAGAGAATACTTTCTCAATAGAGCGTACTCTTGCTACAGGTGAAGCAGGTAGTCTTAAGGGTTGGAAGGGACCTTAAAGATCATCCAGTTCCAACCCTTCTGCAGATACCTTGTTGACCACAGGCTGCAGAAGGTAGCCTGCTTCTTTTGCTTGTCCTTTGACCCATCCTGGGAGGCCCAGAGGTAAAAATTCCAGGCTGCAGGCAGTTGCTTCTGCCTCACTGAGCTGGGATGTGCACATATGTACATATGCAGAGTGTATTTGTAATGGCAAAACTCAGAAACAGCTGTTTTGCATAGGTAAAGCTGAGATCTCCTGGGTACACTCCACTTGCCCAAACCATTACCCCAGCAGCAGCTTTTGACATGGTGGCTATGCTTCATTGCGGTTTCATATCTGAAAGAGCAGGACCAAGGGCTCCTAAATCATGTCCTGTTGTTGATATATAAGTGTGCAGTGATCCAGGTATGTAGTTTTATTGCTGGTTACATGAAACAATAACTGGTTGTGTGATGGCCCCCAGTTAACCTGTGGTAAGGTTAAAGCAGGAGCACTAGACTGGAAGGAACTATTATATCCCAGGGTTAATTTAAAGCTAAAATGGGACCTAGATCTGCAAATTTGTGTGGCCTCTCTGCAACAAATGTTTCAGTTCATTGCGTATCAGAAGCAGAATGCTTTAAAAAAAAGTCTTGTTCCTGAATCCTGCTTTCCCCCGAGTGTGAAGCAGTAGAGCCCTAGTAAAGAGAAAGGCAAAGTATGAACCTGCAACTGCTCAGCTTCTGCAGCTTTCTCCCTCTAAGTCTATGCTAAACCTGGATCTTTGCTCCTGAACTCCAAGGAACCTCATTTAATCTGGACTTGCATTAGAAGCCCCTACAGGTCAGGATGTGCCCGTTATGTGCTGCACTGCTGGTCACCCGGAAGCTACTGAGTGTCCGAAAAGAAAATTGCCTGCTGTCTTAGAGGGATGAGTCACCTCTGACAGCTGGGTGAGAGATGATTTTCTACTTGTACACAACTTGAGGTTTAAAAAAAACCAAACCCTTTTCTGTTCCATGTACAGCTGAAACCAAGTTCCTTCTATTTGTAGGGGAAAAAATGCAGAAAGATCCTCGCTAAGCATAGCCAACGGTTCATTCATCAACTGACATCAGGTGAAAAAGATTCAACACTGCTGACCTCTCTCATTTCAGAAAAGTGCTCTGACCACAGAAGTACCAGAGATCTCCTCTGCAGCCTGTGATGTTTTTATGCAAAATGGAGTGGTGCCAGCCTGTGACAGTGACAAGCTGATTCTGGTAGGTAGTTAACAGCTTGGTGATTTATAGTACCTGCCTAGTGCACAGGGGTCCTAAGATCAGGTTTGAGAGAGCGCAGGGCTTTAGGCTATTGTCAATTCTAAGCCTCTCCCAGGTTTTGACCATAAATCACACCCTAGAGGTGAAAAATCCTTCCTGACAGAAGTTCTGGCAATGCTGCTATGTTTCCCTGCAAAACAGTTGTTTCAGTTGTTTGCTACTTGCTCATTTAAAAAAAAAAAAAAAACCAGCACATTTCATTGAAGAACTTCATGAGCATCTCTTAAGTGTTTGGCAGCACTGGATCTCTCAAAAGGCTCAGAAAAATTCAATTAAGCTTACTGTGTTTTGAATTGCAAAGGCTTTGATGGGTTTCCAAAGACTTTTTTTTTTCAGAGTGGTCCATTTTATATGGCTTGCTAGTATCTGATATGCATCCTTGATATTGTAGCTCTTCAGAGGACTTTGGAACACGAGACCCTGGTGCACTGTGTAGTAGAAAGAAAGAGGATTTCCAAAGCATAAAAATTTTACGCTTCCACATGGGTGAAAAATGAGAGGAAATAGCTATTTTCTCACATTTTTAGTAGAGCAAATTAAGAGAAATCTTTCAGAGTACTTGATTCCACAGAAGGGTTTGGGGCTGGCTGATGATAAGGCATAATTTTTGTGGCTTTAGCAGGATCCACGTGGACAGATTAAATTGCACCAATTGCAAAAGCTGAGAAGCCATTCTAGTGTCTGTGATGGCCCCCAACATAGCACAGACCTGGGATTCTCCTGCTGCTGACCTGGTTGGGAAAGTAAGTGGCCTGCTTTGCTTCTTTCAAATGGATACCATCTGAAAAGTGTAGCTCTTCTTGCTCCTAAGCAAGTTGCCCTGCTTGTTTTCTCACCTCACTCTCACCTGGGGACTCTCCCCTGCCTTCAGCAGAGGTCTGCTCAGAGGACTCCTGTGTGGGATTTCTCAGCTCTTAAAGAAATGAGAAAGGTTGATGAATTTTTAACAAATCTTTCCCTTCAGCTGTTTGTCAGACCGAGGAGATAAATAACACCTGCAGTCCCATCCCAAGTGCTTTTGCACAAGACAATTCCTATCTCAGCTACTAACAGAGAAGTGACATTTTTTATTTTGCCCAAGAGGCTCACTTAACTCATTCTTGGCTGCTGGCTGCAACCCATCATCTGGGATTTGTGTTCCTGATTTCAGCAGATGGACACAGAGCTGACAGAGGGCTGTAAGACAGCACTTGAGCCTTACTTTTGTGGAAAAAAAAAACAACAAACAAACAGTAAGAAGAAGACAAAAGTGTAAAGAGAATTTAATCTGTTTGTCTGCTTGTGGGTACTGTACCAACGGGAAGAAAATCAGTTTAGGTAGAATAGTGAGAATGCTATAGGCAGACTGAATCAAGGAGCAAGAAAGCGTGATCTTGGCAGTAATGCTGTAAGAACTGACCAGAATGATATTGCAAAAGGACTGTCTGCTCTTTGCATGTAGTGGATTCAAGGAGAGAACATTTCCTTCTCCCCACACTGAGACCATCTCTGTACTGAACAGGAGCAGTGTGGTGCAGAGATGGCATGGTGCCTCAGCCCTGCATATGGAAAACCTGCACTTGGCTTGTGTCAGACAGGTGTCTCAGTGCAGATGCTGTATTGCCCTGTACTGCTGTGCTTTTGCTGCCTCTGGAGCTGGCTCAGGCATCTCTGCTCTGCACCTCCATGCTACTGGAAGTATTTCCTTGGAGTTGAAATGAAATCCTTGGGGGACTACAGCTTGAATTGCTCAGGGTGATTGCCTGAGCGTGTGCATGAGTATATGACTCTTAGTGTGTAACAAATCTGTTTTGTGTCTTGAGATCAGGCCTGAAGTGTTATTTCTCTGCCATTGGTTTCTCCGTGTCTTTGAGAAAGAGTGATCTCACTAGCTTACAGATTTTATCTCAGGTATACTTAAAATAAACCTTTTACTTAACTATCTTTACTTAAACTCCAGGGCTCCTGGCTAGAGTCAGCATTTTTAGTTAGTTTTCTACTTAGGAAGCACTAATAAAACATGAACAAGGACATAAGGGTCCTTTTATTCTCCAAGTACCAGCTAGAAAAGCTAGGCTTTGTTTGTTTGTATGCTTCTGAAGTAGCCAGGGACACAAGAGAGATGAGTACACTTCAATGTTGCTCCTTTCAAGTGTCACCTTGGGGTGACATCTTACTTATAAAACTGCTTGGGGTTCTCTCAAGCTAAGATTGCTCCAAGGCAACACTTTTGATCAGGCGTGACAGTGAAGTACATCCACTGAGGCATAACGTCATTTGTGTCCTGCACAATAAATGGCAGTTGGATACAGGGATGATCTGCAGCAAATCACTACAGGCTACCACGCAGCACTGCTGGCTGTCCCATGGGCATGCCATGGCAGCCAGGACGTGCTAGTGGCCTCCCCAGGTGCTGGCTGCCAAACGGGGGTGCAAGTTTCAAAGGCAAAAAGAGCAGTGTTCCGAAATGCTGGTTACGTTTTGTCTGTCTGTTGGACTTTCATTTATTTCTTAACACTTCAGCAAGAAACAGCTTTGCTTTGCTTTTCCCCGCCCATCGCTGGCAGTCTATTATTGTCTGGTGTGAACATTTTCAGTACTCTTCCCTTTTTCTTGCCAAGTACAGTAACAGGGGGAGGGGGAACAGACTCATGCTGGTGTCAGTCTCCTTGTGCTTCTGCTTCTTTGCAGAATGGGGAAATGGGTTTTCTTTTTTTTTGTTTTTTTTTTCTGCCATTTTTTACCACATTGTGTTGAATTGCCACTCTATGCTGAGAAATAAGAGGCTCATCCTAACTTGCCCTCTTGCCACCAAGTATGTTGTAACAGTGCTGTGTGAAAGCCTGAATCCGTTTCCAAGCTGGTGAGAAAAGGAATGTACTGTCAAACCAGGAGGGTGAGTACTGAGCACAAATAAGGGTCGATACACAGTTTAAACAGTATATTTAAACATGTGTGTCTGCACATCAAGAAACCTGCTTTTATTGTGAGGGTGACTGAGCACTGGCACAGATTGCCCTGGGAGGTTGTGGAGTTTCCATCCTTGAAAATACTCAAAAGCTGTTTGGACATGTTCCTGGGCAACCAGCTCTAGGTGGCCCTGCTTGAGCAGGGGGGGTAGACGAGGTGACCTTCAGGGGTCCCTTCCAACCTTAAAGCTTCTATGATCTTATGATTATGGATATTAGGCTATTATAGCCATAATTCTGTCAGGTCATAAGGGAGATAAGGTTTGTGGGTAGGGTAGTAGTATTTTTAATGGACCAATAATGTTTATAGAAAAAAAAATGGACAGACAGACATACTTTCTTCATCTTCTGTGTGCCTAAAATCTTGGGTATTGATGAAAGGCACTGACTTTATCCGCAAAAAAAAAATTGGTTTAATATAAACACGTGAACACAATGCAGATCTTGATAGTCCTCAGAATTAAGGGGAAAGGCAAATATTCCCTTATAACTTAGGAATGTGAGCCACAACCAGCACATGTGTGCCCAGAGTAGAGTGGCCTCTCCCTGACACCAATAGCTGCTTTTTCCAAAGAAAAGAGCTCAACATTCAAATGTGGAAATGGAAAGTCTTCAGGAAACAGAGAAAAAAAGAGATGCTCACTTCCAGTTTGACTCAGTTTATCAGGCAACTGCTTCTAGTTGTCATAGTTCATTATGTTGAGATATAAATGGTATGAAGGAGTAGGGAATTTTTTAGCAGAATTGTTGGATTAGGTTTTTTGAATTATCTAAGTAAATCTCTATGATACAGATGCAACCAGAAAGATACTCCACTGAACAGTATGAGGTCATAAGCAGTAAGAACTTGCAGGATCTAAGGGAGTGAGATGCTCGGCCATCAACTCTCCAAAATACCTGCAAACCTGGGGCTATACCCTAACTTCCAGATTGGTGCTGCTGGAAATTGCCTACCCTAGAGTCAGTTATTGGAGTCCCTGCTTCCTCAGCCTTGCCATTTAGTCCCATACCTACCTAATGTATTTCTGACACATTTCCACAATGTTTAATTACTGCCTCTGCTCAAATATGACCTGTTTGCCAGAAACTGATGCCCCCTCCAGGTAAAGCTGTGACTTGATGCCAAAGAAGATTGACTTGAGGGAAATGCACGTAGAGGTAAAACAGGAAAAAATAAAAAAATAAAAAAATGAACAAGGCAGCGAGGCCATTTCATGGTTTGCAGATTGACTTTTTTAATGACATTTTCATTAACAGTTCTTGATGCTAAATGCCATAGGTTTCTCCCTTTAGAGCTGTCTGCATTAATAATGAGTGATTCCGCTGGGAAGTGATTTACATAAAACATGCTTCTCTTGTTACAGAGAGAAGCTCTGTGCTGGGCCAGTAAGAGAAGAAGGAAGGTAAGTGCACTCTGTAAATGAAGGGCAGTTTCCTATGTTGAGCCATAAGCACCCATGAAAAATCACTCTCCTCCACCAGCACCATGGCCTGAAATGTTTGCCCGCTCAGAGTCCATACGGCATTGAAGTGAATGCTTTAACACAGGGCTGGCACAGAGTATCATGGTGGAAAGGCTAGGGTCAGCTGGTGCAGATCAGCATTGCAGAGGAGATGTAGACAGGAGTAAACTTGGCTTAGCCTTAAATGAAGGGAGTTTTCTGCTTGTTTTGTGTCACTTCTGCAGTGCAAAGTGTCTGGGGCCTATGACCACAGCTTTCTGCATTTCTCCTGCCTTAACTGTCATATAAATAGGTTCATTTTTTTGTGGTATGTCAAGTTCCAGACAGACACCAAAGTGAAAACACGACAACTAGAAACCAGAAGATGAAATATCACCTTTTTTTTCAACTTCATGAGAAGTCATCTATTTAATTTCTTCCTAAATATGACTGAGACTTTACATTATGGCTTTTTCTCCGAGTTGGATACAAGGTGGCATGGACCATTTATTGCTAAGTCATCCCCTGCGTGTTTTCTTGTTGTAGAGGAAATGGTTTATGTTGACTCATAAATAAAGAGATATGCAGCTTCTTAGCTTCTTCCCACAGTGTTCCGATAGATTAGTAGGAAACATGATGCTGAGACTGTGATCTCAAAGTAGATTCCAGTCAAAGTAGATACCAAGAGAGATCTGAGTTACTCAAGCTTTCTAAGACTTCATGATTTAAGCTGTCCAATGCATGCTTTCTTAGAGGGAAACAGTGACCTCCAAAATGTCTCAGCTCTCTTACCTAAGCCACCTATTTTAAGGTGAGCTTTGTTTTCTGAAGTTTCTTACCTCTCTACATTGACTGTGGAGAAAGTTATAGGTGACTTAGCATCAATTTGAAGAATTTCAAAGGCTATCTTTGCAATTTAAGGGACTTTTTTAAAGAGATGACAGAACAGTTTGGAAATGGAAGCAAAGCTGCCATGAGTTTTATTTCATTTTATATTTTCATATAACTTATGAAACGTCATATGTTTTCATGTAACAGCCTGTTTTTAAGTAAGATGAAGATAAGACTTCCCATAAAAAGTCATTGAAAAGGCAAAAATTATAATTTCTTGTCTGTGGTAGACTCTTACACCATTGAAATTATGTTGTGGATACAGCTGAGAACTTAGATTTCTGAAAAGTAACATCTCAGATCACTGGGAAGTTACTTCATGAAAATAAGGAATCATTTGTACAGAATTAAGTAAAACCTTTCTGTTTCTTGCATTCCCATAGAAATAGGTTTGTTGTCCAGCTCATTAGAAATAAACATTTTGCTGGTACCTCAAATAGGAGGACTAGTCTGATGATGCCATTACAAATCAGAGAAGTAATCAAAGGCTTTGGAAGGTAAGCGCTTTTATTCCTGAGCCCTTGTTAATTTGCTGGTTTGAAATTAAGGACTTTGTATGAAAACTTACACTGTTGTGTGGATTCATCTCACACAAAGCGCCAATAAAAATTCAGTTGATGCTTTTTAATGGACAGATTTATTTTTGGAGTAGTTAGGAGGGCAGTCTGATGTTCTTGGTCATGATGTCCTCTGTCAGACTGCATGCAGACTGAAGTGATTTGTCCACATTGGCTTAGTTGTACTGTAGTACTGCACTCAAACTATCCTTTCAGCAGAATAAATTACAAAAGCGGCAATTAAAATTGTTTCACATTTTACCTTCCTTTTCTTTACCTAATTTCTATGTCAGCTGAAACCATCAAGATCTAGAAAGTGAAGTATCCCTGATTTTCCTGGGGGATTGTGCAGATCAATGTTTCTGCGAAGTTGACTGAAATGTAACTGTAAGCTTTCGGTCCTTTAAATAGCCTTGATGAAATGTTAATAGTTCTTCTGTATCATATCTGTAACAAAGTAGGAAGATTAGAAGTGAGGTTTGGCTTCAGCAAATCATATTGTTGTCTTTTAAATTAGTTCTGCTGTGGGCATGGTGCCTATAGTTTGCTTAATCTGTTAAACCTTTTTTTGTGTGTAAATTAATGTTTTGGACAATGATGAATATAAATAATTTACGTCTACAGCTTTCATGTTGTATGTTCGCTGAGCTGGATTTGCAAAGGCATCAAGCCAGGATGTAATTCCTGGCTTTATTAGGTTATGAAACAGAATCTAGCCAGAAGATATAACATCCTTAAGCTGTAACATCAGCAGCAACAGACAGACCTTAATGCTTCTGGACCTAATGGAATTAGATTTCATGTATGCTTAATGAATGCAAATGCCACTTAATTTTTACAGCTCGAGTTGTAATACATTGCATGTGACACATCCGCTACTGGAGAAAATATTCAAATGTGTGATTCTTACACCCAGTGTCCAATTTCAGCACTGTAAAATGTATCCTCTTAGGGAAGAGGCACTGGAGAAACATGCCAGCAATATTACTGCATAATTTAAAGCAGCCACAAAAGAGAAATGTTAAAATATGCACCAGGCAATTACAAGTGTTGTGTATGTTTTTATTCTCCTATGCTGCTGTTCAACAAGGAGTAGTAAAGACATTTAAAGCAAGTGGCAACCATAGCAACAAGGAATTTTCGGTTCAACCTGGTGCTGTATAACTTCTGGCACATTTCTGGATACTCTGTCAAGTGTTGATTCTTCCAAAAGATATGTGCAGCACTTTCAGTTCTGCCTCTCAGGCACTGGTGCCAGAGAGATACAGGAGAGCCAATTTCAGCACAAGCCCAAGCAGAAGGGATTGCAGCTGGGTTACACCAGAGCTGGTCATGGCACTTGTTTGGTAGAGGTCCCTTGGGTTTGTTAACTATCAGAAAATAAGTCACATTCTGCTCTCTGTGAGAGAGAAAGGAAACAGATGTGATGTGGAAGAAGTTTTCTATCCCTTACCAATCCCTTGCTCTATTCATCTGTGGCTGTGAGAAGTCCCAAGCAGAGCTTTGCTCCTCTGACTTGGTCACATCAACTACCTTGCTCTGGGGGGTACAGAAGGTCCCCTCAAGCACAGCTCCTCAGGAGTGCGATTGTGTCTTTAGGCTTTTGCTTGTGCTTCCTGGCAGGTCCACTTTTCCTGTAGACAGCTAGGTGAATGTTGATCCTGCAAACAAGTCAGTGAATGGAGTATAAGGAGTATGGGTGATATGCTGAACTCACTCATGCCTGCAAAGAGCCCAGGAAATGTATTAAGTTGATGGAGGTCTGGGGACTTTTCAAAGACAGTCCAGTGTTTAGTCACTGTGCATTTTCCAAAATACAGTGAGTATGCATAATACTCACTTATGTCAGACAGTAGTCACAAATAAGTCTGCCTATTGATCACGGGTACTGAGGTATGTCTCTTACATTAGTAGTCTTGTTTTCCTTAACCTTTCCTGGTGTTCACCTTAGGAATATACTTTGCATGCTGCAGGTCTGCAGATTCTGGATTGAAAGCCACTGCATCATGAGGTCACTAACTAAGAAACTCACTCATTTTTACAAGTAATTTGCCAATTGCTTTTTTTCAGACAATGTGGAGTTGGTATTGGTCCCAGAAACAATGCACTTGAAATGCGCATCTGATCATTTTATCTAACACTCCTTTGAAGGTTACTTATCATGAGATGCTGTGATAGCACATAGATCTCCTCTACCTCATTACACTTTAATTTGGGATCCTGAGACTATAAAATTGTTTCATAAATTATCTGGAAATAGCTATGGCTGACTCTGCATCCCCAAGAGGGAAACCTATTGCCTTTTGGCAAGACATATGAAGTTACCTATGATCAAGGCAGCACATTCTTGAATACTTTATCTCTGTATGTGTAAATGCTGTATCAAGTTACAAGAGCAGGAGTAGAAGAAAAGTATTGCCACTTAAGAATATAGTTGTTTAGAAAGGAGTGGATTAAGTGAGGCAGAAATCTCAGATCTGCTGCTTTCATTTTTTTCAGTAGCACCATTTTTTGGACTGCCTGGGATAAAAAAAATGCAGAAGGTGGGTAGTGTTATTTGAACAAATTTCCCATCCACTATCGCATGTGGATAGCCTTTGTATCGTGCAGATTGTTTTCTTCCATGCACATATTTTGTTTCTTGTATTAGAGCACTTAAAGCATATCCAGCAGAGTTATACATCTGCATAAATATTTGATGACTCTAATTGTGCAACCTACACCATACTTTGACCCTTGGGCATGTAGTGCAACTAAATGTGCTTGCAACCTGTATATAAAATGTTAAGGTGCTCAGGAAATGTGTGAGATTGCCTGAAGCATCAAGTTAAAGCTGTTTCAAAATCATAGGAAAAATATGTTCTTGTTTATAGTTTATAATTAGAGTTACTGTTAAATGATTTCACATTATTTGTTTAATTAACATAAAAATCATGAAGTTCTCATTGTCACTTCCATTATAAACAACTGTCCTTCAAGGAATCTTTTACATGTGAAAGAATCTTATCTCTAGAAATCTAATAAGAAAGATATTTGGGGCATAGGATGGTCTTAATACCATTTTTGTTCTTAGCAAAATTTTTAATTATGGGTTTAATTTATCTAGAAAAGAGGTGAATTATAATTATAGCTCCTAGAAAATCATGCTGCAGGATTTCTGTCTTTTATTTTCTGCTAAATACAATTTTTTTTTCTCTAAAAAAAACAAACCCTGGTTATTTTTATTTTGAAAAAGCTGCCTCTGAATTTGTTCTTGACTCATTGATAAGTTGAAACACTGATGTTGAGAAAGAAGAACACATTTTTTTTCACTTCTTGTCCACATCCATCTTAAATGCAGAAAACCTGCAGTCATTCTTGTAGGTGGGCATAAGACCAGGATTTCCATCCTGTGGAAAAATCTGGTCCTTCTAATTTTTCTTCATCATGACTTGGAATAAAATGTTGAGACAGGCTGGGGAAGTCCCAGTCTTTCCAGTCTCACATTTACTGATAATTTTTGTTAAACTGAAATGAAATGCTTTATTTTTTTTATTTGGTAATATTTTTTTTTCATATTTTTTATTTTTTCTTTTAATGTATCCAGAAGACTGAGAATCTGCTTCCAGTTCCTCTGCTTTCCATTTTCCTCTCCACGTTAAATGTCTTTATTGGACTGAACCTGTTTGGCCACACCAGAGTCATGCATTACCCATCTAGGCACAACGTTTCAGCTGAAGGGGTAGCATGAGAAAATGTCCTCTTGGAAAACCTTGTGTTGTGCTTAAGTTTTGTGTGTAGCACTGCAGCAATTTGGGTGGATGCAGCTTAGTGCTCAACTGACACACTGCAAATTCATCTGAGATGTTTCTCTTCAGGCTGACATGATTCAAAGGCATTTCATTTTTGCGTTCTAATGAAAAAGTGAAAAATTACCTTTCCACAGAAGTTTTGACTTTACCAAGAACTGCATTTCCAGTTATAAAGACAAAGATATTTTTCCTGGACAGCATAAATCAAAGTTGTTTTCTTGATTACAAGCATCCCAGCCTTGCCTGCTGGATAGAGAAAGCAGAGCATGTCCTCCTGTACTTCAGTGTAACAGCTCACCCTCAGCTGTCCTTCTTAGCCTGGTTGAGGGTAATGGGAAAGGACCCACGTTAAAAAAACTGCTTTTCAAAAAGAGGAAAACGTGTGTGAAGAGTGGAATGTGCTTCTTTAACATGTACCAGATAATCTAGGCCAAGCCCTTGGCCTTCTGCTTGCTTATCCTCCCCTTCCATCTGTCGCAAGAGCCTGGGGCCATGACCAAAATTAACGTGGCAGGCGCTCCTGATGGGATCCTTCTTGCTGAATATGAAAGTCTCCAGTCTCTGCGCACTGAGCCAATCACCCTGAATGTCCAGTATCGTTAAGGGAAGAATTAGGCCCTTTTATGGCTCTCTTCATTTGCCCTTTCCAGGCACTCATATCGGGACATGAGCATCATGCCCTGCAAGTATCCATTCACTCCCCTGTCTGTGCAGATACTCGAGGCAGCTATCTCAGGGGCAAAGGTCTGTGTTTTGTTAGATCAGTCAAGGAGCCTGTGAAGATATCTCCTAACTCCAGATATAAGGAAGCATGACAAGTATTTTAAAATTGGTAACAATCCATCATTATAAATGCTTAACTGAAATAGCTTTGTTACTTGTTATGCGTTGTTACATTGACATTGTTACACTCTTAATGACATACTCTTAGCCTGAGAAATGTTAATAACTGTGAATATGTGAGATTCAGATCCAGGAACCATCAACTTATGAAAGTAAAATATTTGCCTTCAGCTTCAAGAGAGATTTGCTTTTTATAGTAAAACTAGCTGGATTTATGAGGCTACCACTCAATATAAGGGGCACCCGTAAGTAGTTTTGGCAAATTTCTGACTTCTAAACGGCCTGGACTGTTTTACAGAGAGGCATCCAAGACCCATCAAAGTACCTGCATCCATAAATCTGAGAAGGTATATTTATAATGAGCTATCTATCTAAGACTGTTACAATTTTTAATTTGCTTCTGAAGGTGAAACCCTCAGTTGCAACTCAGAGCTAAATTATATGGACTGAGGGATTTTCAGGTTTTTGAACACATAGAGGATATTAGCAGCTAAGGAAGTGTTCTTTTGTCCCTAGCGGAAAATTGACTTTAAATGAAGCAGAGGAACAGAGCAGTTGGATATGGAGTCTCTTGGGATAGTTGGCAGAGATTTTTTAAGCTAGGAAACTGCCTGCTTTTCTTCACTGGAAGAAACAAGATTTGGGAAACAATTCAGCAATTTGCAAGCATCTAGCGTCATTTGAGATGCTCTAACAGTATTCTACTTCGCCTCCTACCTCCCTCTTCAGCAGGTAATAGCCTCCCAGAAGTCCTGTCGTGGATGTGGCTTGGATGTCCAGGAAGTCTCAAATGGTGCTAGGTATGTCCGGTATACTTTACGTCTCACCCCAACAGAAAAAATCCAAGACTCCTGCTTGAAAGGGCAATATAGCTCATGTGGAGTGCTCTTTTTAAGCATTTGCCATCCTGCATAATATCAGCATTTTTTTCCTATATTAAAAAAGATTAAATACAAATGGGATTTCAGTGAATTTTTATACATATGAATTCTAAATCAAATATTCTGAGTGCACCAAATGTGCACTCTTTGCTTGAAAATGACACATATATGGGTAAACATTAGGTTTTCTAGGGCAGAAGAAGAGGGCAGACAAACCACTGAAGTAAAAAAAAAACCTTTCAGGACTTTTGTTCTGTAACACTGTATTTGGCTTCCTGTAAAAATTAGCTGTGAGAGTGGAGATGATAAGTAGTGTGTCTCTAAAAGCATTCACTGGTGTATTAATGTATAATCTGCTGTGTATTAATGTATAATCTGCTAGGAGATACTTCCAATTCAGCACGACACTGCACCCTGAAGTGCACTTGGATGGTGCTTGGAGGTCCAGGTGCTCTATCGCTTGCCAGATGGAGAGTGTGAACTAGAGGAAGGTTGGAGTCACTCCTAGCTGCCTCCCAGCTCAGTTGATGATTGGAGTCATCCAGGGTGCACTTAATGTCAGCTGCACAGACAACTTTTGTAAGAAATCAGAAATTTGAGTAACCTAAGTATTTTTAATAAATTTAAATCATTACTTCCTTTGTTGTTGGTATACACACATACAGTTTAACTATAGCAAAGCATTCATGGGAACTGCCACTGTAAAGGGAGCTGTTGTAAGATAGTTATTGGAGCAGGTTTTGGGCTGAACCTTGTTCTCATGTTTGCTTAACCTGGTGCAATAGATAGCAGGAAGTGGCAAAAATTGACACCATGCAGCCATTGAGTCATACAGGCTGGACAGGCCCTGAGGAGCTCATTTTCTCCTTGGATAGAGGGATCGGGGATGGGTCTTACTTTCTGCATGCTGTGTGTGTGTGTGGCTTTAGTGCCTGTGTGATTTGGATGCTGGTAGCACATGTTTGAAAGGAGGGGGACTGACACTGGGTCTTGGGACCTTCCCTATCTAGAGCTCTCACTGTGTCTTCATCTGAACCAGGAACATTCCTGCTCTTCCAGTCCCAGGATTCCCCTAAGGTGTGTTTCAGGTTGATGAATTTATGGAGGCTTAAATGCTGATGAATGACTGCCAACATGAAACAGATGCTTCTTGTGATATTATGCTAGAATTGGACCCTGCTTTTGAGAACAGAATGAATGGATTAAGTGCTTTCATTACTTTTGCCCTCTTGAGAGATAAAATATCTGCTTGTCTTCTGGAAGACTGGCCAGGACGTGTGATTACTTGTGACATATTGCTTTGGATTTGCTCGTCACTGCAATCTCACATCACTTTGTGGAGTTTTAGTACGTGTTGTTCTATGCTGAAAATCTATTTGATTTTGGGAGACTGCAATAGAAGTTTACCACTGTTCTGTACTTTATTAGATGATCATGCTGGCAGGTTGCCATAGCTGCAGGTGCTGAATAGTCGGAGCTCTTCCTTTTCCATCAGGACCCCAACTTCTCTGTCAAAAGAAAGGAAACAGTTTTTCTTCTGTCATGTACAGCAGTAGTTTACATCATCGGTACTGAAGAGAATGTAGCAAGAACACAGGAAGTGACTCACCAGTGAGAAACAAATATAAAGACAATTTAGAAAACTGTTATTTACACAGACTAATGGAGAGGCCTGATTTTATACTGTCTTGCACCTGCATTATTTGCAGAACAGGTATAAAAGGTATAAAGATGTGAGTCCTTTTATTCTGTGTTATTATCTTCATACAACCTCACTGTTTTCTAGTTCTGCGTTGCACTGGTTAAATGCATAATTCAGGTTTCTGAAGCTGATTTTGTTCTATGGACAGTAAGTGACACAGCCGTAATTATAACAGCCTTCTTGAAATCATCACTCTGTCACAGTTGCCTTAAGGAAAACATTTCAGATCAGTGACTACTGAGCTTTTCTGTCACATTAACCAAAAAGTCATAGCCAGTTTGAATTTGCGCTAATATAAATCAGATGTGATCAGCTTTACACCAGTGTGACTTCAGTCCCAAGCACAATATTACTCTCTGTTTCTCAAATTAACTGTTCTAACACGCTCACTTATCTTCTTCCTGCAGTAAAATAAATCCACATTTCTGTAGGAAATCCTTTTGTATATACAGCTACCATGCTTGTTATGTTAATTCATTGCATGGATAAAATCAACAGGTAGTCTTTTGCAGTTTGCTTTCCACGATACAGGATGTATTTCTTACCATCGTGTTCAAGATGTGTTAAAGTAAGCATTCTTGAGCAGATACAAGTTAAGTCTACATTCCAAACCAGTTCAAGAGGGTTTTTTAATCCTTCATATGGTGTAGTTTATAAAAAAGCAGACATACTTTTTGCTGAAGTAGAAATGATGCAGAAAATAGCTGTTCAGTCTCTCCAGTGTTTATAGGACAAACAATGGTGGAAATACAGAGGTTTTATTTCCTTGTGCTGTGCTTCACATTTTAGACAGCTGACTTAATCAACAAAAATCTTTTGTTGATATAAGTGAAGGAAAGATCAGGATCAAGGTAGATTTCCCTTATAAAATAAACTTTACTACTTGTAGACCACAAAGCCAACATGACCTTACTGTGGAAGGTGATAGCAAACTGTAGCCCTGCAGATACTGGGGGGGGGGGGGGTGTTGGAGGGGTGGAACTAACAAAAAAAAAACCCCACCAAAATTCAAGTTCTTGTCACACTGAAATAAGGAATCCAAAATCCCCATGAGCTGAAGGGGAAAATAATTCGCAGTTACAAAAACAATTTCCGTTTCAAAGAGTTTGTTTGTTTTGAATGAGTGGTCTCATTTCTTTTTAATTATGGAGATTGTATTGGTGTGTTTTACCTAAGCATTGTGAGTCCTACAGTGTATTTCATATGGGAAACTAATTGATATTATATTGCATATGTTTGTTTTGGGTTTCTATTTTTAATCGCAAATGTTAAACACTAACTTATTAAGTTTCAGACTGAAGAATCCAGATCCCTCAGTCCCATGTTAATTGTGCATCACCCTCTGCTCGCTTGCCTCTCGCGGATCCCCAGAGCTGCTTCCCTGAAGTGATTGCAGCAGCCAAGCTGGGCATGGGCCAGTCATATCCCATAGGCAGCTGCCCAGAGATTCACGCATGGAGTGAGCTGAGCCCTTGCTTAGGCTTGAAATTCACCAGCTTTTCCTGGTTTTGTAAATCTGGCCATGGTGGAGCTTGCTGGTTTTCAGCTTTGGGTTCACTGACTCTTCCTTCTGGGTCTTGAGGAGTCTTGTGTTTTGGCTCAGTGATACTGACCCTTCTTCCAACTGCAGTGCTGCTCCTCTGTGACTTTCCTGACAGCTGCATTTCTTCCTTGGGTATTTGATCACCCAGGTACTTCTTTCCTACTGCCTAAGCTCTGGACTTCTCACTAGTCTGTCTACAAGCGTCCCAGCCCTTGTGGCTGCCATCTCCCTCCAGTTTCTGCTTGTGACGAGTGTCTAACACTTCCATTTTCAGATGACTGAAATGGTACATTTACTCCACAAACCGTCTCATTGGTGCCAAATGCCCCTGTCTGCACACCCTAATTGTAAGTGCTACAGGCCTGTCAAATCTTGCACATCTGAAGCTTTGCACCTTGAGAGCTCTGAAGTGGAAAGAAACAAGCCTGTTATTAATGGACTCTGCTTTCCCCTCCAGAGCCAATTCTTCTGGATGACCTACTACAGCATTTCTCTAATCTTCCAGCTCGTCTTCATCACTAGCTTTCAGACATACAACTCCATCAGCTTGAGAAACTCAGCAAGCCTGGAAAGGAGCGCAAGCAGGCAATAGACTGCAAGAGTGTAGAAGGAGAAGTTGGAAAGGTGTCTTAATTATTTGCATTCACTAAAATGAGGGCACAGTGTATTTTATCTACATACCTGGTCTTTTGAGCAATATTGTTCACAGCCTGTGTTATGAGATACAGAAACTTGGTTGGCATTGTATCTGTCCAGATGTCGTCAGGTAACAGCCTCGTCCTGGTGATCCCCTTTTTCTGTATGCATTTGATGGTGAGTCCTGTCAGTGGAGGTAAAAAGGTAAAGACCTAAATGCACAGGGGACTGACTACACAGCAACATGAACAGAGCATCATAAATCAATCTTTCCTCAGGAAAATAAATATATCCCTGCTGGCCCCAGCCTGCTACAGAGGGAGCATAAATATCTTCTAAATACAGGAAGTGGATCATGTTTCTAGAAGAAACTTTACTCTCCAGAGTTTATTATGTTACAGAGCTTCTTTCACATAAGTCAATGTAAAGCTGAGCTAAAATTGGTGTAAGTGAGATCAGGTCCTTTATCGTAGGCTGAGATATTTATAAACAGCTTTGTCTTCAAACAATGTGGACCATTCATCATGTGTCTCAGCCTTAGAAAGTAGTGCACAAGTCTGAGAAGCAGGACTGGAGTTCAGGTTGCTTTGAAGGAGGCAATGTTCAAAGAAAAATGTTGTCTTTTCTCTGTGAAATGATCCCAATTTCCATGATACCACACCAAGCATGTTCTAAGGGGAGTATTTCTCCCGATTAACCTTAGTCAGTGCTGCTGCTTCATCAGCTGCATGAAGGCTCTTATTGCCTCAAATATATTAAGCTACATATTTCTCTCTGGCAAGCCCAGGTCAGCTAAGGAAACCAAAGGAATTCAGTAAGTTAAACATTTTGGAAGGAAATGTGTCATGCCCATAAAGAAGGAACTCCCTACAGAAATATACTTCCAGCAATGAACTCTGAATGAGCTGTGGAAAGAGGTATTATTTATTAAATGGACAAAGAAACAGTGAACAGTGCACTTTGACAAGCAAAAATTGGTTAGAAAATGGAAAATCAAGTATTTGAAAATTGATATTCTGAATAGGAATCCAAGTTTTAAAATTATTGAAAAGGAAATTCCTGCTTAAGAATAATTTGAAAATATTTAATAATCTCAATCTGGTAACATTGCAATAATTTAGTATCAGTTATTAAATATAATCCCTTTGGATTT